ACAGGGTCTCCCTGTAGCCCCAGCTGTCCTGGAACTCACTATGTAGACCAGGCTGGCCTTGAACTTACAGAGATCCACCTGTTTCTGGGATTAAAGGCATGCGCCACCACGCCTAGCTTCTTCCTGTTCCTTATATTCTTTCCGTCTAAATTTATATGGAATTGCCTCAAAAGGGACTTATATGATCATCACTGTCCCTAAGTATATAGGGCCTGCATATTTTCACTGTCACATTGAACTAAATATCCTGTTTTAGAAGGGAAGCAAAATTTATAATCATCATTTATAAGATGATTAGTATAGGGATCTTTTTCTCTGCCAGCCAGAAACTTAGTTGAGATTATTTCCATTTTGTTCATTGTTGTGTCTCTAATACATAGCATAAGGTGTTGGAAAATGTAGACACCAATATATTGAAAATTGATTTACTGCAAACATACTGTGTATAGGACAACAGATCAGGCATTGATAGAAGTAAAATAAAATGTTTCCCACTTAATCTGGGCCTCTTTTCCAATTCAACACCTTATTCTTCCAGTGATTCTTTGAGTGCTGCTGCCCTCATATTTCTAATGAGTGCAGGAATGACTTTTATTAATGGACATGATTTGAAAAAACCTTGTACTCTTAGGTATGATGACTTAGTTATCTCCTTGGCAAACTCAGTTTTATACTCCACCCAAAAAGATAATAAACTAATGTGAGTTTGCTTCAGAATTAATATATCAAAGCCTGCAAGCAGTGCAAACACCCACTGGAAACAAAGTGGAAGTTGGGAAGGATGCATGACCATGGATGGATGTGAAATAGGGATGAAAAAAACAGGTAGTCGGTGAAGATTAAGGGTGGAGCCGAATTTGAACTTGTTCTTTCCCAAAGAAGTTGGAGAAACCATTTTGAATAAATTATTGGTGTGGCCTGACCAGGGGAAACAGTGGGAGAAACAGGGCTCCAGAGACAGTTCTTTGGCACAGGGTGAAGATACAGATGACAGCACCACGTGCACAGGTTGAGGAGACAACTGAGATCCATCAGCATAGTTCTGGGGAGACAGCCCGTTCTAATAGATATCTAGAGGAACCAGTGTCTAGTGATTCTAGGAGTAGAAGAAAATAAATTCCGTTTTAGTCTCCCTTATTTGCTGTAACACCATAAATGGACTAAGGCTGATGACTTACAAATATACTTGGTTTGGCTAGAGAGATGGTCCAGCAGTTCAGAGTGCTGGATGCTCTTGCAGAGGACCCAAGTTTGGTTCCCAGCACCCACATGGCAGCTATAAACCATCCTTAACTCCAATTCCAGGGGAATCCCAAGCTCTCTTCTGACCTCCGTGGCATTGCATGACATGGGTGCACTCACATACATGCAGGCAGTACACTCGTACACATAAAATTTAAAAAAAATTTTAATTAAAAGAGGGGGCTGGAGAGATGGCTCAGCAGTTAAGAGCACCGACTGCTCTTGCAGAGGACCTGGATTCGATTCCCATGGTTCAAGCCACATGGAGGCTGCAAACCGTCCTTAACTCCAGTTCCAGAGGAATC